AGCTGCAAGATCACTTGGGTTTTGGTATCCTCCGGGTTCTCCCCTTCATTCCCGTCACTTGGTACAACCACCACATCACCCACAGGGACGCTCACCTCGGCATTCGCCATCTCTCACATGAACCCGGCAAGGTTTTTTCCTCCCTGTAGATCACGAGAGCTGGGAATAGATCTCAGAAGCAGATCCCCCTGGTATCATCCCACTCATAACTTCCCGAGCCAGCAGCTCTCTCCAGCTCTGAACCCCCAACTTGGCACCAAGGAACAGACCCACATTGGTGGGTTTTGGCAAGAGTGTGTTTTCAACACAGAGCTTCTCTCACTGGCCCTGGCCAGAGTGATTCCAGCCACCCCTGGCATGCTCTGATCCCTAACAGGAACATGCCTGTGGATGATCCTTCCCAGTAGAAGCTGGTGTCAAGGTGTGGTGCTAATGCAGGAAGACCTGACAGGGGGTCCCAGAGAAGCTGCACTCCCAGGGGATGTGCCTATGATTGTGCATGAGGCACAGAGGTGGTCTGGTTAGTTTGCAGCTGGAGGTCATCCCTGCAAGCCTGAGGTCTACAAGCTGCTGGGAAAGCCAGTCTCAGAATCATGAAATGGTTCAAGTGAGAAGGAACCTGAAAGCTCATCTCATCCCACCTCGTGCCATGGGTAGGGACACCTTCCACTTGACCAGCTGGTTCCAAGCCCCATCCTGCCTGGCCTTGGACGCTTCCAGGGATGGGGCAGCCAGCTTCTCTGGGCAACCTATGCCAGGGCCTCACTACCCTCACAGAGAAAAATTTTTTCTCAATATCCCATCTAAATCTCAGATAGGTGAATTTCAGGTCAGGATCTCCTGGTGGGTGAAGGGGTTTCAATATCCCGTAGTTGCGATACACCAAGACAAACCTGGTGAGCCGACGACACGGGGACCACGTGCCCACCCAGATCCAGGAATGGGACTCCCGTGGTTTCCTGCACCTCATCCCGCTCCGGGGGACAAACAGAGCCACCCGGGACCCCTCGAGAGACGGCAGAGCTTCGCCAGGATATCTGGCGCGGGGAGGGGGCGGGGGGGTCAATAGGACACGGACAAATAGCGGCGGTGATCACGCCGAGGCCTTAAGTGAGAAGCGGGGGGAGCTGCAGAGAGAAACCCGCGGCCCCCGCCGGGTCCTCGCGCCGCCGCTCGGGGGTCCAGAGGTCACATGACATGGGACCCGCGGGACCACCCCGCGGCGCGCGCGGTGCGAAGGGGCGTGGCCTGCCCGGGGGAGGGGGCGTGGCCTCGGCCCCCCTCCCCACGGCGCTGCTACCCCGCCGCTGCCCCCCCCATCCCGAGCGGCGCGCGCGCGACGCCCGCCCTTGCGGCAGCGGCGGCGGCACGTACAGCGGCGACCCCTCCCTCCCCTCTCGGCGGGGCCAGGCCCCCTCCCGCCCCGCCCCGCCCCTTCGCGCCGCATGCCCCTCCCGGCCCCCATAGTGCGGCGCCGGCTGGGCCTTACCGTCGGCGAACGGCCGATACCGGGGGCTGTGGGACGGGGGAACGGGGGGATGGGGAGGGGGAGGGGGGAGGCGGGCCGGGCAGCAGCAACGCATGCGCAATGCCCGCCGCGGCCTCGGCCGCCAGCACTTCCGGCCGCCGCCTGCCTTAAAGGGGCCGACCGGTGAAGCACGCAGCGCTGTGCTGCTCCCTGGTGGCCGCCAGCAGTATCGCCTTCGCGGCGTCACCCGCCAGCCCAAGCCACGAGTTACCGGCGGGGGTGTCACGGCGAGGTTCGCTCCCCCCGGTCACAGCAGCGAGTCGTGGAACGCGCTACCAGGCGTCTCCCGCCCCGCCCCAAGCCAGCCCCGGCGGGACCACCGGGACCTCCCCCGGCCGGCCGTCCCGCCAAATCCCCCATTGCCCCCGCCGTGCGTGCCGGTCGACTGACAACGAGGCAGACCAATGGTAACGCGGGGTCGGGCGGCGACAGCCAATGGGCGCGGCAGGACGAAGGGAGGCGTGGCCGGGAGACAGCGCTGCGGAGCCGCGGTGGGGCCGGGCGGCGGCGGCGGCGGCGGCGGCGGCGGCGGCAGCAGCGGCAGGAAGGAGGATGCGGGCGGCCGGCGGGGCGGTCCCGGGGGCGCTGGTCTTGGTCTGCCGCTGCCTCCTGCTCAGCCCTTTGGGGCTGCGCTCGGCCGGCGCACAGGATGGTGAGTGCTGATTGCGGAGCACCGGCGGGACATCTCACACCGGGACGCGGTATTGGGAGCCCCACTCCCACCAGTATCTCCGGAGCTTCTGCTTCGCTCGCCGGGATGAGACCGGAACTTGGTGCGGTATGGGGACTGGGAAGGGGGACCGGACGGGCTCGTCTCTGCCCCGGGACGGTTCGGGACGGGCTCTTTGCGGTGTCTGGACTGGGATCGAATCAGGATGGGCTCCTGGTAACGGTTCCCTGCTGTTACCAGGGCAGACCACACCGGCACAGGGTCGTCGTGGTGCGCCTGCCCCGGTTCCTTTCCGGAACGGGATCTTTGCCATCCCTCTGTCCCGGTACCGACCCGGGACAGGGTCCCTGCCATCCCTTTGCTTCGGTACCGACCCGAAACGGGATCCTCGCCAACCCTCTGTCCCGGTACCGGACTGGACGGGGTCCCCGCCGTCTGTCTGTCCTGGTCCGGGACGGGGTCCCCAGTATCCCTCGCTCCGGTGCTGGACGGGACGAGCTCTGTCCCTGCTCCCACCACCCCCGCATCACGCCGGTCCTGCACCCGCCCATTTTCCCCGCAGCCACCCCCAGCTCCCTCTGTCTCTGCCCCCGGTGGCGAGTACGCCTGGGGTCCTTAGAGTCCCGCGTTCGGCTCCATCCTGCCTGCAGGGCTTTCCCGGGGAACCCCTAATCCCCGGGTTAAGAGGATCGCTGGAGTTCACATGCAGAGCCGGGCAGTGGGCTTCATCCCGGGAATGCCGTTCTCGGGGGAATTTGTAGCCGCGGCATCCAGGACGACCCCGAGGAAATGCTCGCCCAAACGTGATCCCAAAGTTCGTGTTTCCCGGTGTCACTCGTCCCCAACTCATCCAAGAGCGAGGAAACAGCTACAGGTCAAGCAAAACATTATTTTCCCCGAGGGGAAACTGAGGCACGGGGACAAGCTGGGATCACGGGAGGTAGAATCCCGCTACGTTCCCGGTCAAAAAGTGTGATTTAGGGCACATCATGCAACGGGTTTCCACGAGATACCAAACCCACTGGTGGACGCGGAGGAGTTTTCCCGGAGCCAGCAGCATGACAGAGGCAGGGGTGTGCCGGGATTTTGCCGGAGCATTGCCCTGTTGTGTCTTTCTTGCATCCTGTGAGAAAACAAACAAATCCCTGGCAGGAATGATCCCAGCGGGGTCCGGCCGTGAGTTCACCCTCGCCCACCGGAAATCCAGTTTTCACATTTTTTGGGAGGGGAGTAAAGTTTCCGTGGTTGGGAGCAAGTACCCCGTGGCTGTCTTGGCTGTTCCTGGCCCCTCGGTACCATCTTTGGCGCCAAATTCCCAAGAGTGCCTGCAGCTCTCTGTTTATCTCTGACATTCCCTCCTGGCACGCGCTGGTCACACTCCGGATGTTTTTAACAAAGCTTTCCTTTCCTTGGATGAGTTTTTCCCGGAGTGGGTCCCCACAGCTCTTCTGCACCACCAGTACGGATAGAGGGGGATCCATCCAAGACCCCCAGTTGGGCTCACATATCCAGCTGTTCTGGCCTTAGAGGGTTTTCCATACAGATCCCAGTGGCTTCAACTTTCTGTGCTAGAAACTCCCCCTAAATACCCCAAATTTCTCTCCTGCAGCAGAGCATGCCTTCTGGAAGCTATTGTCCTGGCAGCCCTGGGATCTCTGCTGCCCACCCCGCACCCCCACCCCCCCCCGCCATCCCCCACTCTTGGAGGGCCTGATCCTTCCCAGCTCCGCTCTGTCAGCAGACACTGCCCAGAAAGGGGGAAAGTTGGTGATTTTTCCCAGTCCCACAGGATAAACCTCCCTCCAGTTTGGATGCAAGCCCTTCCCACAGGCTAGGGAGGAGGGGGCTCTGTGCAGGGGCTGGCATCTTTCACCACCAGCCTCCCCATTTTTTATCCCTGCAGGATTTTATTTTCCCTTGCTGGCGCTTTGTGTTGTCTCCCAGCAACAGTGAGGGGAGCCAAGGCTGGGCAAATCTATGCCAGCCATCCCTTTTCTTTCTGGCTGTGCCAGGATGATGCTTGGCAGGAGCAACAGCTTTTAGGGGATGTGAGGAGGAGGTGTTGAGCACTGGACCCATACGAACGCCTGGCCCACACAGTGGGGGCTGAGTGGTGCTTTCCCACTTTCCCTGCACCCCAATCCTGCCCAGAAATTATGGCCAGGTCTCAATGCCTGGTGCTTTCAGTTTATTTCCAGGATATTCCCTCATGCCCAGAGGCAGTGAGCTCAGAGAAAAGCCCCTTTTGTGGTGGGTCTGGCATCTGGCATATTCTCGCTATCCATAACATTGTTTCTTGCCTGGGAAGGAGGCAATGGGGATGCAGCTGCCCAAGGTTATCCTCAAGGTCAAGGCTGCAGTTAGGGTGTCCCCAGGGCTGCCTAGTTCTGTATGGCTGCATGGAGTAGGGATATTCTCTCCTTGAATCCTTCTATATCCCCCCAAACTAAGGTTCTCCTCTACTGGAGGATGTAGAGGAGCTGGAGGTAGAGGGTCATGCTGGGTGGCTGTGGGGGAAGCTATGGCAGCTTCATCCCTGGATCCGCCTGTGGGCAGTTCCCACTGCCAGGAGCATTCAGAAGAAACACCAGAAAATTATGCTTTGTATGAGGAAAACATCTGAAGAGGCTGCATGTGCCCAGGGGTTGTTCTGGGGGCCTCACCAAGGGCGGAAACTGAGGCAGGGAACAGCCTGTCTGAGCAGTCTCCCCGGTGTCTTTGCAGGAAATGGCTGTGGCCACACACTGCTGACACCCCACAGTGGCACCCTGAGTTCCAAGAACTACCCGGGCACGTATCCCAACCACACCATGTGTTGCTGGCGGCTCCAAGCCCCCCCAGGTACCTCCCTACTCCTGGCATTCGGGGATGTGGATCTGGAGCCCTCGGAGCACTGTGCTCACAGCTCCTTGCTGCTCGCTGACCCCCAGACTGGCACTGTTTACGGTAAGGGGGTTCTGGGGGAACTGAGGCAAGGGTGATACAATGTTGTGGACAGGGAGAATATCAGGAAAATCTGGGGTTTTAGCTGATTTCATCATGGGGAGGAAGAATATCTGAGGAGGGGGGTAACCAAGTGGGGCAGTATCCAAGGACAGGGGTATTGAAGGAAGGGCTATCCAAGGAGGGGAATATCAGAGGATGAGTGGTATCCAGTATCTGACAAGTGGGTTATCCAAAGAAGAGAAATATCCAAGAATGGGGATACCTGAGGAGTGGGGCTACCCAAATAGAAGGGTTGATATCCAAGGAGGAGGATATCGAAGGAGACTAATATTTGCAAATGGGGATATCTGAGGAGGTGGGTACCCAAAGAGATGATTATTGCGAAGCCTGGGGGGGAACTGCCCGGCTGGGACCAGATGCAGCCACTGAATAATTAATTTGTTGGCCCAGCTAACGCTTCCCGGATTTTCCCAGACAGATTTAATGGTCTTGGAGGGATTTGGCAGCACTGGAAACATGACAAATGCCGAGGAAAACATCTGGGGGTCGGGGGAAGCATCAAGTGATGGGGTGGGATAGAGGAGCAGCCCTGGTGAGGGGCAGGACCTGGACAGGAGATGCAATGGGAAATGAAGAATGGAAAGGAGCTGGCTTGTATCCATGGGACTGGGAACTTTCCCTGTTCTTCAGGGCTTTCACCCTTTCTGGGCTGGTCCCCATCCCCTCTACTGTGGCCTCAGGGACATAATTGTCCCCAACGCTAAGAGACATCCCAGCCCAGGCTGAGATACAGCAATGTGGGAAAGGGGAGTACTCCCACATGATGCTCTTGGGGGCCTAGGGCAGGTGACTGGGCACCCACAGCCCCTTTGGGTGACACCAGAGCCATGCCAGCATGACGCAGAGCTTGAGTTCCACTCCATGGCTGACACTGGCCCTTGAGAAGTCCCAGATGTTTTCTGGGAAGCAGTTGGAGAAGGCAGAGGCTGTGGGCTCCTTTCCTGACTCAGAGCTGGTGTCTGGCCCCTGGCCTGATTCTGCTGGGATGTGTCAGGGTCCCCATGGGGGTGGCTGCCTCTGGGACTCAGCTGAGAGGTCCCCAGCTCCCAGGCTATCACTGAGATCCATACAGAAGTGGCACCAGTGACCCAGGGCAGCGTTGCCATCTGGCAATTGGTGGAAGGGAAATCTGCATGTGGCTCATCTGCATACTGTGCAGATCTCAATTCTGTCACATATGTGAGATCTCTGCTTGCACGTGTCCCACGTCCCCTGGGACTGACCTCCTGGTTCAACGTGACCAAGGCAGGATAGGGGTGTGGGTCAGGGTAGAGAAACCAAGGCACAGGGGGAGGTGTCACCAGCAGCCCCAGGGGAACACGGGCATAGTTCCCTGTCCCCAGGCATTTGCTCAAAACATCTCTGGGTGCCCAGAGGCCCAAGTGATAGGCGTGATACAGAGCAGAGCGATGTGGGGGACAGGGGGTGATGGCAGTCCAGGCATTAGGGCCATGTTCTGTCCCCAGCTGGAACCAGAGATATCCCTAAGGAATCTGCCTGCCTGCTAAGCCAAAGTTATAATGAGGGAGATAGAATTGCAAATTAATGTGTATTAAATGAGGGGAGGGGGCAGTTTAGGAGGCAGCTTCAGCAGCATCTATGAAAGGGGATATGGGGAGGAGACAAGGACACAGCTGCCATTTTGGGGTCCCGTAGGGTGATGCCGTGTGTACCAGTCTCTGCAGTGGGGGATGTGGTGGCAGGTGCCCAGTGAGGGCAATGGAGCCGCCCTGGGCATGGGACCATCCTGTCATGAGGTTGCCCTGGCCTGGGACCACCCTGGGTGTGGGACCATCCCAAAACATGAAACCATCTTCAAGATGGGACCAGCCTGGCATGGGGCCATGCTTCATGGGACCACCCTTCAGCACCCTGGTGCTGAGACTACCTTGAGGATGGGCCACCCTGGATGTGGAACAACTCTGGGACCACCCTCAGCACAACCCAAATGCCTGAGCCCCCCTGGCCCTGGCAAGGGCCAAGCCAGGTGAGGTAAAGTCCTGGGGTCTGGGTGTTCAAGCGTGTCCCCAGGGACCCCAAATCCTCTCCTTGGTGCCATCCCTGCTGGCAGGGCCCTACTGCAGGAACTCCATCCCTTCTGCCCCACTCCTGGTGACAAACTCCAGCACTGTGACCGTCCTGTTCAACAGCACCAGCCACCGCTCAGGACGAGGCCTCCTTGTGTCCTATGCCACCTCACAGCACCCAGGTAGGGGCAGCATCCCCTGGGATGCAGAGACACCCCTGGGATGTGTCCTGGCCCATGCAGGGATGTGGAGGAAGCTCCTTGCTGATCCCAGGATGAACTTCCATTGCCCTGAGCTCTCGAACTTCCATGTTCTCCCTGGCTGAGGGCAAACATGGGAGACCCACAGGCCAGCTGGGACCCCTTTGAGAACCCTGAACCCCCAAGTCAAGTGGCACCCCAATATCAGGAAGAGCCACAGGCAGCATAGATTGTGACATGGGGCCAATGGCTGCAGAGATCAAGGGGCCATCCCTCCCTGCCCCTCCAGACATGGGGGCGTGAAGGGCAGAACCCAAATGAGGAGCAGGATTCGGTTGGGAATGGAGTGCCCTGAGGCAGAAAGGAGTGTGTGTTGTGGGGCAGGTGGGGGTCCCTCACCCTGGGGTGTCCCTGCTTTGCAGACCTGATCTCCTGCCTGGTTCGAGGCACCCACTACACCCAGGAACACATCAGGTGAGTGGTTGGAGTGGGGAATTGTCCCATTTTGGTGTCCCCTGCCGCAGGGGTCCCCACCAGCCCTGGTTTCATCTCCATCCCTCTCCTGACATAAAGCTCCGGTGGGATGGGGAGCAGAGTGGGTATGAAGAGGGGTTGGATGGGAGGGAGCCCTGACCCACCCCTTACCATGTGTTTCAGTGTGTACTGCCCTGCGGGCTGCAAGGACATCCATGGGGACATCTGGGGCAACCCGAGCCAGGGCTACCGGGATGTAAGTGTGGGCACCATGGTGCACCCACCAGGGATGGTCCCCACAGCACATGTGGCCACTGCTTGTCACCCTTGTCACCCAGAGGTGATGAGTGTGGCCTTGAGGTGCCCCACGGGTTGCTCAGGCCTGCCGTGGGGGGCTGCCCTTACTCCCCACTCCCTGCAGACATCAGTGCTGTGCAAGGCAGCTGTGCATGCCGGGGTGATTGCGGATGAACTGGGCGGGCAGGTCACCCTGTCCCGGGAGAAGGGGATCACGCTCTATGAGTCAGCCTTTGCCAACGGGCTCCGTTCCAAAAGGTAGGTGAGGAGTGGCTGGGGCTGCACCCACAAGCTGCGCGACCCACCCGCACTGACACTGGGAAACTGCCACCCCTGGGTTTCAGAGACCCCAGGGTTTGTTCACCCTGTCTGATGCTCCCCCTCCTTTCTTCCACACAGGGGATCCCTCTCTGAGAAGCGACTTGTATTCCACAAAGGTATTTTTTTCCCATTTCCCCTGAAATTAAGGTATGATTTTAGCTGTTAGACCTGCTGCCACTCCCCTGTGCCTGGTTGGGGTTTCCGGGTTCCCAGTGTGCTGTCTCCTGTCCCCAGCTTGTGATGATGTGCTGGAGGTGGTCACCTTCAATGCCTCGTCCTGGTGGCATGAGGTGGATGTCCTGGGCCAGGACCGAGCCTGGGTGGCCGAACAGGCAGCACTTAGCACCACTGGCCACTCCTGGGCAGCTGAACCTGGTGCCGAGGCTGCCTGGCTGGAGCTGGACCTGGGCACCCGAAGGAATGTCACAGGTGTGTGTTGGGCTTCAGAGGGGAGCAACAGCTGCCTGTGTCCCCATGCCACCCTGACCACTGTGCTCCCACTGTGCCAGCTTCACTCATCCCCACAAAACTGCCCATGGCAGTTGCACCCCAGTAATTCCCAGGATACACTGGAGTTCATTGTGCTGTGGTTTTACTGGTGCAAACTGGGATGCAGAGCACACCAGCCCCTCTGACTGCTCCTGTCCTTCTCTTGTCCCTTTGCCCCCCTCATCTGCAGCCATTTCTGGGATGAACAAGTTAATATTATGCTCTTGCATCTGGTGCCAGTGAGTGTCTTTTGTGCAGCCCAAGCCTGCCAAAAGCAGGGGCTTTGTATGCCAGTGGCTGGCGACCGCAGCGAGGAAAATGGGAACATTGTCTGGCCAGAGGCTGGAGGAGGGGGGAATGCAGGGCTGGCGGGCGGGGCTGGAGGTTGTCAGTTCATGGGTGCAGACCAGAGCATCCCACACTGGAATCTGCCACCCAAACTCCCTCCCAGGGTTAGAAGGATCCCCCTCTGCCAGGTGATGTTTCCTGCCCTCCTAGTCCTTTCCCAGCTGGGTCTTGAGTATCCCAGAGATAGGGGTTATTCCAGCTGGGAGTAGAGGGCAGCCCATTGCCAGCGCTGCAACTGCTGACTGACAGCGGGGAACCCCCTCCTGTATTCACAGGCATCATCACAAAGGGCTCCTCTGAGCAACATGACTACTACGTGACATCCTACCGTGTCTCCTCTAGCCGTGACGGGAAGAATTGGAGACCCTACAGAGGCAACAGGGGTCAGGAGGACAAGGTGGGCATGGGGAGAATATCACGGGGCTGAGACCCCCTGCCCATGGATATTTAGCCATTGACACCTTTTCACCCTGTCTGGTAGGTGTTTGAAGGAAATGCTGACAGCCAGGGGGAGGTCTCTAATGTCTTTATCCCCCCCATCATTGCCCGCTACATCCGTATCACACCACACAGCTGGCACCAACGCGTGGCCCTGAAGGTGGCCCTGGTGGGCTGCCAGCTGGCACGGGTCCACGTGCCCCATTCCTACGGTGAGACCCTCCACAGAAGCTCACGCCCCCATGTCCAAAACATCCTCCTGGGGCCTTCACCTTCCTGTGCACCCTGTGGGGGTCCCACAGTCACAGTCCCTGCTTTGTCCTGTAGTGCCCAGTGTCCCCAGGGAGGTGCTTGAACCCACCAGCCACCCAGCCAGCCGCACCCCCATCCCTGGCATCGCCCTGGATCCAGAGAAGGCAGGTGGGTGCCATGGGGGAGCTGTCCTTAGGGCGCAGCATTGTGTTTTGGTGTTCGAGGTACCACTGGGGCTTCATTCCTCCCCCCCATGGGAACACATTGATTTTCCTCCTCTAGTGGCCCCAGGTGGGCTTCTGGCACTCATGGGTGCAAAGGGATAGGATGTGGGGGCACAGGGCGCTGACACTGCCCTCCATCCCCAGGCTCCACACTGCTGGTGATGCTGCTTATTGGCGGCTTTGTGTTCCTCTGCTCCTGCCTCCTGCTCCTGGCTTTCCTCTGCCACAGGAAGAGGTTGGTCCTGTCTTGTCCCCTGCTTTGCCCTGGGGTACTTGGCATCACCTCTCCAAATTCCAGCAGCCTTATCTAGCTGCTCACTGGGTCCCAAGGGGTGCAGCCCCTAAGGCAGTGGGTGTGAGGAGATGTGATGGTGGGCACAGGGTAGCTGGCACCTCTTGCCCCATCTTGCCTCTCCCATTGGCAGGAAATCAGCAGTGGAGCTGAACTGCGGGATCACAAAAGGTAAAAGGGTCCACAACTCCTCCCCAAAATCGGAGGTCTTTGTGCTGTGGGGTGCAGCTGGTTTAACTGGTGCTGGTGCCAAGCTTGGACTTGTTCCGTGCCCCAGGGGCACCTGCATGTCCAGGTGACAGTCGGTGACACCTGAGGGTTTCCTCTCCCTGCCCAGGGTACCCCATGCTGGAGTCCAGCCAGGTCTGCTCCCTGCAGAGCTTGCCAGCCCCCAGTCTGGCGTCCTTCACCATGGCCCCCACACCAGGGGACCTCAGCTGGACCCATTCACCAGGTAAGAGGCACTGGTCCCTCAGCCCAGAGCTGGAGTCGAATCTTCCCGATTGCACCTCTTTCTCCATTCTGGTCTGACCCCTCCTGCATAGTTGTCCTGTGCAGCAAGGAGGCCCTGATAAATTAGACATGCCCATTCAATTATTATAATTTATTGTAATAACACCACACATTATTTAGTAGTAGTAGTAGTCCACCTCAATTACAGCTGTTGGCACTGGAGAGTGGCTGGGGACAGCAGGAGCCGCTGTCTGTGGTATGGCAGAGGAATGTGGGGTCTCCATGGGTGGGTGCCCTGTGTTGGGTGGGTTTTGGCAGTTTTTCTATCCCTGAAAGTCCAAACATGCTCAGACTGTCAAGCCAACCTCATGCACCTCTGCTGCAGCATCATGACCCTCCTGACATGGCAGCCTCTCTGTTTCAGAGTACACTGAGCCAGACCTGGTGCAGGTGAGCCCCAGCAGCCAGACAGGTCCGTCCACCTTCAAGCCACTCCTGGAAGAGGGCTACACTCTACCGCTGGTCCTGAACCACTATGACATCCCAGGGAAGCACCATGAGTATGCAGAGCCACTGCCGCCAGAGCCTGAGTACGCCATGCCGTTCAGTGAGCTGGAGCCCGCTGGGATGCGCCGCAGCACTTGTATCATTGCAGGACCTGCCGGGTGCTCCCCGGTGCCGTACCAGACCCCTGCCCTGCAGCCCGGGGAGCTGCCTGCTGGGGTGGAGCGGACTGGCAGCCCCTGTTCTGAGGGGTCCCGTGGGTTGCCTAGGCACTGTCCCCTCGCACATGTGTACCAAGAAGCTTTGTGAGGAGTGGAGCACAGCGGCACAATATAGGGCGGGGAGAAGGCGTGTACAGGAAGATCTTTTTGCACTCGCAGTGGGCTTTTTAAAAGTAATCCTATGTAAATATATGTTTAACATATAGAAAGATGTGGACTGGAGTGTCCTATACTGCCTGCTGGCTAGGGATGTGATCAATCCACCTGAGCCAGGGTGTTACAGTTCTTGCCCCCCTCTCCCACTGCCCGCGGTGTCGAAGCCCCCACGCCAGCAGCCTGGAAGCCCTGCTTGGGGCAGGACAATACGCCGGGACACCGGAAGCCCCTGGCCGCGGCAGAGGCCGCTCAGAGCCCGTTCTCTGCCCTTCACCGGTGCCGGGGTGCCAGAACAGGCGGTTACCAGCAGCCCCCCTCACAAAAATTGTGCTTCCGAAATCTCTTGATGTCGATTCCGCGGGGGTGGCACACGGCCCCCCCCGTGCCACGCACGGCAGAAGCCCTTTTTGAGAGACGCTTTTTACCCCACCCAAACCGGGAAAGCGCCGGTGTGCCGGAAGGACAGGGCGACACATGCCGCAGGTACTAAACATGACGTTCGGTATATATATTCTTTCAGCCTTCCTCAACTCATTTCTTATCGCCGTTTCTGTGGTTTTCCCTCAAAAAAGCGCCGTTTTCTCCGCTTTTTGGCTGGCCAGGGTTATGCAAATCGCGCGGGGCATGCTGGGCACACCTCTTCCCGGAAGCGGCGCGGGGAGGGTGAGGGCTTTCGGCGGGAGCGCCGTGGCGCGCAGGCCCGCGCAGGCGAACTCGTTCCTGATTGGCGGTGGTGCGCGCGCGCGCGCGCGCGGGGGGCTCGCTCCCGGCCGGAAGCGGAAGCGCTGCCGGGTGTCGGCTGGCGGCGGAGGGAGCGGCGGGGACGCGGAGCGCCCGCGGGCCATGGGGAGGTACGGGGGGCTCGAGGGGGCTCCGCGGACCACCTGGGGATTCCACACCGGCTGCTGCAAATCCGGGAGGGAACACAAGAGTGAGCGCCGAGTTGGTCCCGGTGGTGGTCGGTGACCTTCGCTCTGCCTCGCGACTGCCGGCGGAGACGTTCTGCACCGGGAGGGGGATTCGTTCCCATCCCGGCAGTCTCCGTGGGGTGAGCGCTTTAAGCTGCGGATGTTCAGCCTGGAGAAGAGAAGGCCCCGGGCATATTCCTAGAGCCCCTTCCGGCTGAAGGGGCTCCTGGGGAGCTGAAGAGGAACTTTGGATAAGGACCTGGAGGAAAGGGAGAAGGAGAATGGCTTCCCATTGCCAGAGCACAGGGATGGTTGGAATACTAGGAAGGAATGCCTGTGAGGGTGGTGGGGCCCTGGCACAGGTTGCCCAGGTAGACTGTGGCTGCTTCATCTCTGGAAGTGCTGAAGACCAGGTTTCACAGGGCCTGTAGCCACCTTGGACAGTGGACAGTGTCCCTGCCCATGGCAGGGGATGGAATGAGATAACGTTAAAATTTCTTCCCACCCAAACCATTCTGGATTCCATGATTGTATTTAGATATTTGGCAAAAATCGCTATGGTTAATGGAAGTGGGAGCCCCCTGAGCACTCCAGTGAATTTGCTGTTTGTCATTAACATGGATTTTAGTTAAGGCTCCAATGCTGTGCTGTTGCAGAACTGAACAATTTGTGGTGCTGATTGTAACACCCAAACCTCCTCTTTCCCTGGAGGGAGCTGCTGCTGTGAGGACCTGGGCTTACCTGCACATCAGCAAGTACCAGGATGCTCTGTTTCCTGGCAGAAAAATGGAGTTTGATCATGTTTTTCCTCAGAATCCTGTGGGATTCTTGTCCTCTGCAGCAGCAACTGTGTGATCGTTTCTGACAATGCAATCTGTGGCACTGTAGCGTGGACAATTTGTGATACTGTGTCCTCTAACCATCTTATATAGAATGTGTGATACAAAAAATATCTAGTGTTTCTGTAGGAGCGAGAGTTATGTGGAAGAGGAGGATGCCAGAGTAGGTGCTGACTGGTGACATTCTGGGAAGGGTGTGGGCTATGGCTTCTCCACTCACTGGGCTCACAGCAGTTGCTGATGTAATTAAAGATCTAGACACTCCGATAGCTGTAAGTAAATGGGGCTAGCATGTGGGACTTACCTTGTGAATCTGTTCCTCCCATGAGTTTTGTGTTCAGGGATCTTAGTGGCATGTGAAGTGTGCAGTAATATCTGGGAATAAACCAAGAAAATCACTTTATGCTGCTAAAGTGCTTCTGCCCAAGGATATTGGGGGTTTGTGTCGGAGGATTTTGGTGTTTCCTTCCCTGCATAGGGAAGGGTAGGAATTCCTGCTTTGTGGATCTGTGAAATGAGGCGTGGGGTGAACAGCCTGAGATCAACCACAGCTAAAGCCAAGACTGAAGGTCCCTCGCAATCTTGTGCTGGACTTCTCAGCCAGAAGTGCCAGCTGAGGGGTTTAGGGTGTGAGCATAATAATTTTCCGTTGTTAATTCAATTAAAATGGATCTGGAAACTTGCCAAGGGCACTGCAGGAGGGTGTCAGGGACATAAATTCCCCTCAAAGGACTCCATGTCTGCAGATGCATGAGTATGCATTGGAGTGAAGCACTAAAGCTTCTAAATTCTCTCATGTCCCTTCTTGTGTGGGTTTTGATATTAGTTAATCCAAACTAACCAGGCTTGTTTTGATGAAGGGAAATGTCTATTTGTAGATCAGGGACCAGACACTGTATGTGAATGTCCCGTAAAGCTGGTAAAACAAACTCTTCTTGTGAGTTCAGCCTTAGCTGCTCAGCCCCACCATGAGAGGCTTTGCCATCAAACTGTTCCTTAAACTCTTTCCTATGACAGACCCATCGATGCTACCCAAGGTGGTTGTGGTAGTAGAAGGTGCAGGGTTTGGATGCATTTCCTGTCGTGGAGCAGTGAAGACAGAGCAAAACTTCATTGAGCATAAGGCTTAGAGCAGAAACAGAGGAGGTGCCAGTCAGTGTTCACCCCATGACCAACAGCCTGAGTAACTTCAGCACCTGGAGCATCTGTGTAACCACACAATCCACTTGTAGTTCACCGCTGGGTGAACTCCCTCTCCATTTCCTGTCAATCGCCCGGTGTGGACACACACATGTTCCTCCCCCTCTGAGCACCAGATTATGTTCTCAGAATACAAAATGAACCAATGTTGTCAATCCCACATGGAGAGGCTACTATAGGTCGGGCTGTGAGCGTGATGCTGCCAAAAGTGAGATCCCAGGGAGGCTGGGTCCTGCTTTCTCTCCAGGGCTCTGGATTTTGGGGATGAAGGATTCCATGATGCTGCAGCAGGAACAAGCCATGTCCTGCAGTTAAATCTGCTCTGAGTGGTCTGTTCTTTGTGGGAAATGGGTTCAGGAAGGCTGTGTGAGGTGGATGTGGAGGGGTTCAGCTCAAGGGATGAATGGGTGGGTGGGTCATTGCTGCTGTCACCAGCATGCAGCCACTGTGATGCTGGAAAATTTAATTTTCTGTACACCAGGGAAGGTTTTCTCTGCTACTAAGCATCACTTCTCCCTTCATCCTGTGAGCAAAGATTCCTGATTTATAAACTGCAGGGCCTGTCAGAACACTGCAGTTTTCTCTGGACAAAGACCTGTTCACCCTGCTGAATTCCTGCTATTTGCTAACTGTGGCTTTCCTCTCCCTTTCCAGTTAATTGGTTTGGATCCCCACAACCCCAAGAAGAAGCAGGACTTAGACAAGCTTTATGATTTAAAAGCTAAAGCCCAACAGATTATGAACCAGTTTGGCCCTTCTGCCTTGATCAACCTCTCCAACTTCTCCTCGATCAAGCAAGAACCAGGCAGCACCCCCCCACAGAGCTCCATGGCCAACAGCACCACTGTGGCAAAGATGCCAGGGACGCCCAGTGGAGGAGGGCGGCTCAGTCCTGAAAGCAACCAGGTAATTCCATCCCCACTTTGGGACAATAGGGATGATGCTTGGGCATCACAATTATCACAGATTTGCCTGTGGCTTCATTCGCCTTCTTTAAATCACCAGCAGAAATATAATGTTTATTAAATTATCCATTTCTGAGTGAACAAAACTTCCTTACAGAGTTCCTCTCTCCCAGGTGCTTCCTGGCTGAATGGAGTTTGGATGCTGTAGGTGTAGAGCTTTTTCCAGTCTTAGGAAAGTGTATATTGGGGTGTGACAGGGGAAGTTATTTTTAAATGAGGTATAGATGGGAAAAATATGGGGAGAGGTGAAGGTTGCCCAGAGAAGCTGTGGCTATCCCATCCCTGGCAGTGTCCAAGACCAGGTTGCATGGGGCTTGGAGCAGCCTGGGATAGTGGAAGGTGTCCCTGCCCATGCAAGGGGGTGAAATGGGATGAGCTTTCAGGTCCCTTCCAACTCAACCTGGCATGGAGCCTTTGATGTGCATAAACCAAACTTCTGCCTAGGGAATGCCCTGGCATTGCTCTCTAATGGCGTTGCTGGCACCCGGACTCTTAGGAAGTGCACTAAACCCTAGCATGAAACAGCCACAGCAGTGAAGGAATGAGGAAGGGCAGGAATTTCCCATCTGTGTCTGGTTGACCGACCAGGCTGACAACTTCTGTCCATATCTTTTAAGACCTAGCATCCTGTTGTTCAGCCCAGTGTGGTTTCTGCTCCTGCCACATCTGACTGCCCTGGAATAACCCAGCACTCCCACAACTCTGTTTTCCATGTGAGGCACTAAAGCTGATAAGTGCTAGAGCCGTGGAAATGCTTCCCCCATGCCCTGGGCACAACTTTAGTCACTGCTATGCTGATTGCACTTGCTGTCTGCATCTTAACACTTGTAGTTTTGCCTTTTCACTCCTTGCCAGCAGCATTTTTTTGCTGGAAACATTTATTCTGGCTGCTGCACTCCAGTTGCTGTCCAGAGCAACCACTGGTGCTTGAAAATTACTCCTCAACACCTGATATTTCTTATCTCTGCCATTCCTGAGCTGATAGACTGTGTCAATAGTGTAACTCGGCCCTGGGGGCATGGGGGAGGAGGTGGTTGTGGCTGTGCTCCACCGGCAGCTTCTTTGCTGGAGCAGGGCAGTAAATCCTTCCTCTCCTCCTACACGCTCAGGTTTTAACCAAGAAGAAATTGCAGGACCTGGT